AGCCTTTGCAAAGCTTTTCATCTCCGACAACGGCCCCTCCCCCCCTCCACGGGCGGGGGGGGTGGGGAAGGGGGGGGCTCTGGGACCCTGGGAGCAGCGTGCTCATCCCTGGCTTAGCCAATCAGGGTCAAGGGTCTGGCTTGGAGGCCCGTAAACCTGGGGTTGCTTTGTATGCACCGGGATGTATGGATGCACACAGGAATCCCCCTGCCTGCTGGTTGTTGAAATCTGGAGAGCGTGCAATGGTTAAAGCCGTCCCCAGCAATCTTAGCTTTTTTTGGGGGGGGGGAGCATCCCTGGGTGGAAAGGGCGCCCCAGTATTGACATATCCGGGGATGGACTTCCGAAAAAACGAAATAAAAACCAAATTTCATCCCGAAAACAGTGAGAAAAAAAGAGAAACGTGGCTTAACACACACACCCCTCCACCTCCTTGAAAGGAGAAATGTAGCTTAACCCTCTCTGAAAGAAAAGTGTGGTTTGAACCCTATGGAAAAGAGAAACGTAGTTTGACACCCTCTTGAAAGAGAAACGTGGTTTTGAGCCCCATGGAAAGGAGAAACGTAGTTTGACAACCTCTTGCAAGAGAAACGTAGTTTGACACCCTCTTGAAAGAGAAACGTGGTTTGAGCCCCATGGAAAGGAGAAACGTAGTTTGACAACCTCTTGCAAGAGAAACGTAGTTTGACACCCTCTTGACAGGGAAACGTGGTTTGAGCCCATGGAAAGGAGAAATGTAGTTTGACAACCTCTTGCAAGAGAAACGTAGTCTGACAACCTCTTGAAAGAGAAACGTAGTTTGACAACCTCTTGCAAGAGAAACGTGGTTTGAGTCCATGGAAAGGAGAAACATAGTCTGACACCCTCTTGAAAGAGAAACGTAGTTTGACCCCGTGGAAAGGAGAAACGTAGTTTCTATCTCTTTCTCTCTCTATCCCTCCCTCTCTCTTTCTTGCTCTCTCTCTTTCTCTTTCTCTCTCTCTCCCTCTCTTTCTCTTTCTCTCTCTCCCTCTCCCCCCTCTTTCTATCTCTCTTTCTCTCTCTCTCTCTCTTTCTCTCTCTCTCCCTCTTTCTCTCTCCCTCCCTCTTTCTCCCTCTCTCCCTCTCTCTCTCTCTCTCCTTTGCATTTTAAGGTGCCCATCTTGGTTTTTCCTCCTTCTCGGCTGCCGGAGCTGACAAACTCAGGATCCCTTGGTGGTCCTGCAGAAAGGGGGTGTGGCGGCCGCCTCCCACCCCGCGTGCCAACCAAGGGGAAAAAGCCGCTTCTTTTGCAAAATCTGGCACCACTGCCACCATCCACCCACCGCTGCCCCACGCCTTCCGGGTGGCAAGAATAGCACCCATGCTGGCTGCTTGAAGGAGGGTGCCAGGAACAGAAGCCGCTTGGCAGGGAGGGAGGGAGGGAGGGAAAGAAGGGAAGGAAGGGGGGGCGTTGCGCCAAGGACACAAAAGCCCCCACAGCTGTCTGTTTGCAAACAAGGCGTCTGAGTCAAAGAGAGGGGCTTGAAAGCAGTAATTGTCTTTAATTAAAGGCGCTGGATTTCGCTCGGCTGGGACCCCAAAGCGCCTGCGCCAGCGCCTTCAGACGCCTGTGGGGGGAACCGGGGGGGGAGATTGGCAGAGGGATGAGGGTGGGGGGCACCCTGCACAATCACGCGTGTGCGCGCACACACATGTACACACAGGGAACTGCCTCTTCCCCTCCCCTCCCCTGGGATGTGTAAGCAGGGTTGCGTACAAATTCCGTTTCGGTTTAAGCCTCCTTGCCAAACTCGGGGTTGAACTCTGATCGCTGCCCCACACGGCCTCTTCTGGCTTCTGATTCGGAGAAGGGAAGGGCAGTGGGGTGCAGTGGCCAGAGTTTTGCAAACAGATTGGGAAAATGCTGGTTTAGTTCCATCTACAGACTCAAATGATTTTGGCCAAGTCTCGCTATCTATCTATCTATTTATCTATCTATCTATCTATCTATCTATCTATCTATCTATCTATCTATCCATCTACCTCTCCACCTCTCGATCATCTAGCATCTATCTATCATCCGTCCATCTACCTTTCTTCTATCATCTATCTATCATCCATCTATCCAACTATCTCTCTACCTCACTATCGTCTATCATCTATGTATCATCCATCCATCTACCTCTCTAACTTCTATCATCTATCATCCATCTATCTATCATCCATCTATCTATCTGCCACTCTACCTCTATCATTCATCATCTATCTATCATCCATCTATCCATCTGCCTCTCTACCTCTCTATCATCTATCATCTATATCATCTATCATCTATCATCCATCTATCCATCTACCTCTCCACCTCTTTATCATCTATCATTTATCATCTATCTATCATCGATCTATCCATTTATCTCTCTACCTCTCTATCATCTATCATCTATCTATCATCCATCCATCTACCTCTCTTCTATCATCTATCTATCATCCATCTATCCATCTACCTCTCTACCTCACTATCATCTATCATCTATCTATCATCCATCCATCTACCTCTCTAACTTCTATCATCTATCTATCATCCATCTATCCATCTACCTCTCTATTCTCTATCATCTATCATCTATCCCTCTACCTCTCTAACTTCTATCATCTATCTATCATCCATCTATCCATCTACCTCTCTACCTCTCTATCATCTATCATCTATCCCTCTACCTCTCTAACTTCTATCATCTATCTATCATCCATCTATCCATCTACCTCTCTACCTCACTATCATCTATAGAGCTTGGGGCACTCAGCACCAAAAAGATTAACCGTCACTGTCATAGACCATTAAGCACCAGAATCTTGCCTGTCTGAAAGTCTCTCTCTCCCCCACCATCCCCTTTACAGCCCAAGAAACTAGGGAGGGTCCCTTTTGAGATGCTTCCCACATCCCTTTTCCTTCTGGGGGCTCAGCTGCCTCTTATCGGACCGTGGCCTATTCCGCAGCTCTTCCTCCTCTCTCCCAAGGCCATTCCCACATCCCATTGCAATATTTCTGCCCCCTCCTCTTTACAGCCCAAGAAACTAGGGTGGGTCCCTTTTGAGATGCTTCCCACATCCCTTTTCCTTCTGGGGGCTCAGCTGCCTCTTATCGGACCGTGGCCTATTCCACAGCTCTTCCTCCTCTCTCCCAAGGCCATTCGCACTGTCCATTACAAAGCTCCTTTGCAAAATCTCCTCCTCTTGCTCCACTCATCCCGACCCTCCCCTCCTCCGCCAACCTCACTCACTCACCCCTGCAGACGGTGCCGTTCTCCACCGATTCGTAACCGGATTTGCACATACAGCGTCCGATGGGCACCAGCCACTCGCCGTCCCCGTTGCAGTACAATTTGATCGGCACATCCACCTCCTCGGCGTTGGGGATGCACGTGCCTCTGGCCGCCACCAAAGAGGTACTCTCCGCACCGGACAGCGTCTCTTGGAAGATGGCGCCATTCTGGATAACGCGTAGGCACTTGCGGTAAAAGACCCGGACGGCAATCAAAGACATGCAACCCCCGTAATCTTGGAAGGCCAAATAAAATCCGTTTTTGGAGACGGGCCCGAAACTCCGGACTTCGGTGTTGATCTTCATCACCCGTCCGCCCAGGTCGACTTGGGAGAAACTCTCGTCGGCCGCAATGGTGTCTACCTTGGCCCAAGGATTCTCCATCCAGCTGGGGAAGCTCTTTGTGGCGGCGTCGAATTCCGATTCGTAATAGTAAAGGTTGAAGGTCTCCTTGCAAGATCCCGGCACGTTGGGAATGCTGCTACAATCGCGGACGGAGAACTTCATCTCCACGTGAATCCGATGGGCGCCCCGTCTTCGGATGTATTTGGTCCGTAGCCAGTTGTTCTGGCTGGATTCAAAGACATTGCAAACTTGGTACGTCCGGATGGTGTTCATGTTTTCGTCGTAGCCGCTCACTTCCTCCCACTAGAGAGAGAGAGAGAGAGAGAGAGAGATAAACACATCCCTGGGAGTCTCCGGCAAGACTACAAAGCCCATGCACCCCTTCCCTGGAACGAGGGCTAAATCTGGGACTTTGAAAACCCTCCGGAGGGCCTCCGAGGGAGTGGGGAAGGCTGTTTTCATCCTCCCCAGATGCATAGAGAGGATCTGGAGCCAGGTGAGAAAGAAAAACGAGCCTACTGGGCATCACGTGCCAGGAGCGGGGGGGGAAGGGGGTTGCACATGCATGCACAGGGCGGGGCGCATAGAATTATGGGTATGGCCGCGCACGCGTGAACCTCCCCCCCCCCCCCTCCTTGACACGATAGCAAAAAGGTTAGCCATCACTGGTATAGGGTTTCCTGCTTGAGCAAGGGGTTGGACTAGAAGGCCTCCGAGGTCCCTTCCGATTCGGTTATTCTGTTATTTAATTCGCATTTCATCTCGCCAGTGGGAGCGGGAGGGTGTGTTTTGATATTTCGCTTCGCGCCTCGCCTTCTGTTCAAAATGGTGGCATCCACGGTATTTTATTCATAGGAATTGATATTGCTGGGAAGGGAATTCCCTGATTCCGGTGGGTCCCCTCGGGGACAAAAGAAAGAGGTGGAAAAAATCACCCAGCAGAGATGGAGCAAGCAGCTTCCAGCAAGCAGCCAGGAGCTTTCTGGAGAGAAACTCACAACTTGTCCTAAATTCACACGGCTGTTGTTTTCGGTGTTCATATCCAAACCATCGTGGGAATTAAAAAAGAGAGAGAGAGAGAGAAATTCCTTCTCGCCCTGATTTCCCTTGCACCCTTCTTTCTGTCGCAGAGACCCCCACCTCCCCGAAGCTCCGTATTCTTTTTAATTTTTTTTTTTTGAAATCTGCTGCGAAGTTAATTAATCAACTAATTGCATTCATTAGCGCTGTCAGCCATATCGGAATTATTCCAGGAGTTTATGGCATTCCGAGAGAAAATTGCCAAGAGGTTTCTTTTTTTTTCTTTTTGCGTGATGCAATTTAAAAAAAAAAAAAAGAGCAGCGAAGAACGGTGATTGCTGTCTTTTTCGACGACGCCCCCCCCTCTCCTTGTATGTTTTCAGGGGGGGGTGGAGAGGGCTTTGCAATTGGTTTGGGTGGGTTGGGGGGGGGGGAGAGAGTTGTTTAAGGCACACAAAATTACATGGATTTGTATGCGCAGTGTTTTCTCCTCTGTCTGCCGGCTGCTTGATGGCACAGCCCAGGTGTGCCGAGAGCTCAGGTTGAGTGCGGAGGGAGGGAGGGAGGGAAGGAAGGAGGGAAAGAAAGGAGGAAGGGAAGGAAGCAAGGGAGGGAGGGATAGAAGGAAGGAAGGGAAGAAAGGAGGGAGGGAGGAAGGGGGGGGAAAGAGGGAAGGGGAAGGAAGGAGAGAAAGAAAGGAGGAAGGAAACAAGGGAAGGAGGAAGGGAAGGAGAGAGGGTAGGAAGGAAGGAGGGAGGAAGCAAGGGAGGGAAACAAGGAAAGAGAGAGGCAAGAAAGGAAGGAAGAGGAAGAGGAAGAGGAAGGAAGGAGAAGAAGAGAGAAGGAGGGGAGGAAGAAAAGGAAGGAAGAGAAAGAAAGAAAGAAAAAAGAAAGAAAGAAAGAAAGAAAGAAAGAAGAATAGAGGGAGGGAGGGAGGAAGGGAACGGATTGGACAAGAGGGAGGGAGGGAGAAAAAGGAAGGAAAAAAGGAGAAGGAGAAGAAGAGAGAAGGAGGGAAAAATTGGATGGGAGGGGAGGAAGAAAAGGAAGGAAGAGAAAGAAAGAAAGAAAGAAAGAAGAAAGAAAGAAAGAAAGAAAGAAAGAAAGAAAGAAAGAAAGAAAGAAAGAAGGAAGGAAAGACCCAAACTCACCCCTGAAATCGGGTGCACCGTCCAGCCGAGCTCAGCCGTCGCCGTGGTGGAATCCATCAAGGTTTCTGCAGGATAAACAACAATGACAACGACAAACCTGGTTAGTTAGTCCCATCATTTCTCCCCCTTCGCTCTTCAGCGCTAAAACATTCCCGCTCCCCTTTGCAAACTTCTGAAACACAAATTTTGTCGCTCAGAGACAAAAAAAAATATTTCAAGTTCTTCTTAATGCAGGTGGTCCTCGACTTAGGACCACAATCGCGCCCTTATGTTGTTAAGGGAGACGTGGGTTAAACGGAGCTTTGCCCCGTTTTACGACGTTCCTGGCCACGCGTGTTAAGTGAATCGTAACCCGGCTCCCCCCCTCTCCGCCATCAGAAGGTCGTAAAAGGGAATCGCGTGACCCCGGGGGGGGGACTCTGCGACTGTCATAAATGTGAGTCGGTTATCAAGCATCCGAAGGTAAATTATAGGACCCTGGGGAATGCCGTAACGGTCGTAAGTGTGAAAAACGATCCTAAGTCATTTTTTTCCGGTGCTGTTATAACTTCGGTCACTAAATCATTATCTTCTTCTTTTAACGACCCCCAATAATCCCTTGCATCGGGGTGGAGTCTTGGGCAACTGAATGGAGCTGAGTGTTTTACTGGCCGGATGCCTTTCCTGTCGCCGGTGTGGAGTTTTGTTCAGCAGATAATATTCTCATCGTGCCCAGAGAGAGAGAGAGAAATATCTGCCCTCTAACCTAGGATCGAACTCACAGCCTCCTGATTGTGAGGCAATCCCTTCCGGTCACTAAATGAACCGTTATAAGTCAAGGACTGCCTGCCTGTATTGACCGAAACAGCTCACGTACACTTTCCAAGTTTCCAATTAAGGAGATGCTTTTGAAATCCGCGTCTGACCGACATTTTCCCTGGTCTGTTTTTGTTTTCAAAATAATAATAATAATCTTAAATAGATCTCGAGCAGGTATGTCACCGAAAATGCTCGTCCTGGATGCTATTTTTGCCATCTCCTGCTTTTGCGAAGGTCCCCTACGTTGCCGGAAGCAACTGTGCAAAGGCCCAGGTAGAGATCTTTTTAATAAATAAATCCGCCAATCAGAACAGCTCATTCCGGGTCATCGCACCGAGCGCCCGACCTCTTCTGGCATCTTTCACACAAAGGGCGGCTCTCCGAAAGGAGCCGGCGGGATGGAATGCTGCCTGGCACACAAGAGCAGCCAGTCGTAGCAGCTCGACCTGTTGAACTACCTGGCTGCCTCTCTGGGCTCCTGCTGATCTGTCCATCCAGATAGCAACAACGATAGGACTTACGCACCGCTGAATGTTGTGCAAGTCGGGCCGGAAGTATCCAAGAGCCGAAACCCAGTTAGCCTTCGACTTACGGCCGCTGAGAGTTTGTCCCTATAGCGACAGGCGCCTTGTCTGCAATCCCGAAACAACTGGAGGCTCTCTTGAACCAAAATCCCCCAAGGGACCTTCTAATCCAGAGATCTGCAACCTTAAACACTCAAAAGAGACATTTGGACTTGTTCCCCACAGAAAACACCGGGAGCCACAAAAACCCTTCCCGTGCCTGACTATTTCAAAACTAGCCTATGTAGTTGAATTAAACGTTCTCTTTTCTTCTGAAACTTTTCTTTTCTCGGATTTATCCCTGGTTGGCCTACTGGGGGTTGAACAGCTCAATAAATTGCGTGCCGGCAAGGTGTCGCACGTTGGCGGTTGTGACGCATATTTTGAGTGACTTACGGCCGCAGAAAGTTTGTCCCTATAGCGACAGGCGCCTTGTCTGCAATCCCGAAACAACTGGAGGCTCTCTTGAACCAAAATCCCCCATCGGTCAATTGCAAAAGGCTGAATTGTTAGAATTAGAATCACGGAGTTGAAAAGGGACCTTCTAATCCAGAGATCTGCAACCTTAAACACTCAAAAGAGACATTTGGACTTGTTCCCCACAGAAAAGAAAACACCGGGAGCCACAAAAACTCTTCCCGTGCCTGACTATTTCAAAACTAGCCTACGTAGTTGAATTAAACGTTCTCTTTTCTTCTGAAACTTTTCTTTTCTCGGATTTATCCATGCTTGGCCTACTGGGGGTCGAACAGCTCAATAAATTGCGTGTCGGCAAGGTGTCGCACGTTGGCGGTTGTGACGCATATTTTGAGCGACAGGGAGCCGCAGCAGAGGGGGGGAAAGAGCCACATGCGGCTCCAGAGCTGCAGGTTGCTGACTCCTGTTCTAGTCCTGCTCAGGTGGGAGATACTTTCGTACAGAATTACAGAATGAAAAAAAAGATGGGAGGGACCTTGGAGGTCTTCTAGTCTAACCCCCTGCTCAGGCAGGAAATCCTATACCATTTAAGGCAAATGGTTGTCCAATCTCTTCTTTAAAACGTCCAGTGTGTTTAAACACTTCTGGTGGCAAGCAGTTCCACTGGTTAATTGTTCTCACTGTTAGGAAATTTCCTCTTAATTCTAGGTTGCTTCTCTCCTTGGTTAATTTCCATCCGTTGCTTCTTCTGGTGCTTTGGAGAATAGCTTGACTCCCTCTTCTTTGGGGGCGGCCCCTCCAATACTGGAAGGCTGCGATCATGTCCTTCTTTTCATTAAAGTAGACACCCCCAATTCCTGCAACCGTTCTTCATTATGTTTTAGCCCTAATCTTCTTTGCTGCTCTTCTCCGCACTCTTTCTAAAGTCTCCACGACTTTTTTTTTAACATTGTGGCGACCAAAACTGGATGCAATATTCCAAGTACGGTCTTAGAAAGGGGACAGATAAACAAAATCTGTATTATGTTCTTTATTATGACACGTTGAAGCATCCTTCGTAACTGATCGTGGTCTCTTGGAAGATGGATTTAATTCTTTCTTTTTTTAAAAAAAAAAAATTCAATTACTAATGGGATCTCCAGCCAGCTGAAATGGAAGTGCTGGCAAATATTCCAGTGAGGAGGGAAAAAAATCACCATTGGATTGGATGACTTTCTTAACTTTCTCCGATTTTTGGCAGATAAATATACTTTTTCTGCTAATGTGTTTTTGAAATATTTTTGGGGGGGAAAGGAAAACCTGCCTCCCCGCTCCTCTTTTTCTTGGATTCTGTGTTTCCAGATTTATCTACTTCCCGCACCCCCAAAAAAACTTTCCTAGAGCTGAATTAAAAGAATTTGGCCGTGAGACAGATCTAAAATACAACCCTAAAATACAAGTTCTCGTATTTCCTTGGGTTTTCTTCCTCCAGAAGGGACAAGTGAGAAATTGGCTGAAGGTGGCCTGGTAAAATCCATAATACATCACAAACATCAAATTTGACGCTCTTATAGTCCGTACGGGTACAGTTCGTTTAACGACCGTTCCAAGTGTACAAAGGCCCCCCTGAAAAATATGGCTTAGGAGGGCCGTGGTTTCACAGTTACGACCGTTGAAACATCCCCCGGGGGGGGTGTCACGTGATCCGAATTCAAATGCTTGGCAAGGCAAGGGTGAAATCTAAAATTTGTTACTACCAGTTCTGTGGGCGTGGCTTGGTGGGGGGGAGGTAATGTGACTGGGTGGGCGTGGCCAACTTTTTTTTTTTACTTTTTTTACTTTTAAAAGCATTTTTTCTACAACTTCTTCAGCCAAAGAGGTTGCAGAAAAAAAATGCTTTTAAAAGCCTCTGACGATCGGGCAACTCAGCTGGGATCGTCAGAGGCTTTTAAAAGCAATTTTTTTTTCCTACAACCTCTTCGGCCGAATAGGTTGCAGAAAAAAAATGCTTTTAGAAGCCTCTGACGATCCCAGATGAGTTGCCTGATCGTCAGAGGCTTTTAAAGGCTTTTTTTTTTTTCCTACAACCTCTTCGGCCGAAAGAGGTTGCAGAAAAAAATGCTTTTAGAAGCCTCTGACGATCCCAGCTGAGCCGTGCGATCATCAGAGGCTTTTTTTTAACTTTTAAAAACATTTTTTCGGCCGAAGAGGTTGTAAAAAAAATGCTTTTAAAAGTAAAAAAAAAAAAAAACAGCCTCTGATGATCTCACAGCTCAGCTGGGCATAGTGGGAGGGATGCGCAGGGATTTTTGCTACCGGTTCTCCGAACCACCGTCGTTCAGACGATCCGGTCTGAACTGGGAGCATTTCACCCCTGTGGCAAGGTACTTATGATGGTGGCAGTGCTCCCGGAAAGAGGTGGTATTCAACCGGTTCGTATCGGTTCGTGCGTACCGGTAGCAGCCACTGCAGGTGGGCCCGGCCACTTGCCTGGATGTAATGCCGTCCTATTTAGTCATGTTTTCGAGGCTGGGCGCATGCAAGGAAGGAGTACGCACGAGCAAAACACATCCACAGAAGGCTGGACACATGCGTGAAAGTCACACGCACATGAAGCGAGCATGTATGTTCAGGGCGAACCAGTAGTAAGTATATTGGAAATCCACCGCTGGTCTCCGGGGCGAAAACGGGGCAAAACTCACCGAACAAATTTCTCACTCAACAACGTGCATTTTTGGGCTCCAAATTGTGTTCGAGGTGCTACCGGTAAACAGGATTTTTTTTTTCCCCTCTGCCCCGTCGCCAGACTTTTAATTATTGTTAATATTTAGAATCCCGGCGATTTACGCCCAACCTCGGTTTCCCTCGACACGCATCCGTGAAGGAAATAGATCGGTGGCCAATCCGTCTGTACCAAACATGTTTTGAGATTCTTCGAAAGGAAGAAAGAAAGAATCCGACTTCTATTTAGGAGAAGCTGCTGGGTGTATTTTTGGTTTGTTTGCAAACAAAGGCTGCCGTCTGCTTATTTTATTTTTAGATTTTAACAGGGTTGCGGAGTGTTTTTTTCTCCTCCTCCTGCCCCCCCCCTTTTTTTTAAGATCGGGATTGCAGGTGGTCCAGTTTTGAGCCTCACCATCTGCAAGCAAGGCTGTGAAAACTTGTACGGGAGGAGGAAAAAAAAAATCCCCTTGATTTATTAATTGTGCTATGGCGGCTTTTGTGCGGCTGCCATCTGGGGCTGACTCTAACCAACTCCAGAGACGTAACCGGTGCGAAAACAAACCCGTAACAACAACAACAACAAA